AGAAGTGGCGGTTGGGATGTTTGATGAGGCGATCAACAGCGGCAATTTGGGATGATGTGGCTGCCGCCGGCGCCACCGCCTGAGAAGACTGCAACCACGATCTAGGGTTGTAGTGTGGAGTTCCATCACCTCATGTCGCCCCCCACCTATTGTCTTTATTTTTGAAAGCCCACTTGTTATCTTTTTTTTAAAAGCCCACGTGTTATGTATTACGCCGTATGAATGTATGATTTGCTTTCATTAAGGGTATTATGGTCAGTTTCTTTTAAAACTTCCATGTGAAACATACGTAACTCATAGGACTCCTATTTTGGCATGTTTTCTATGTTTTACTCCCATATTGGGAATTCTCTCTTAGCAAAACCCAGATAAATTCAAGAAGCACATCGATTGAGTCATCTGAGCCCATTTGATTTCATGTTCAGAAGGACTGAAATCTTTGGACAGGTATACCATTTTTTGCGAGTAACTCTATCGACAAAAACACCTATGAAAGCTAAACTTTCTATTCTGAATACTCGCCATTTCTCGACCCTGTAATCAAATACGTACTGTATGTTTTCTGAATGTGTTTAAATGATAAATAATCTAAAGTGAAAAAGTGATTTTGTTAAAGCGTCATCCCCACATGGCAGTTCCAAAACATCAAGGCAGTTAGTAATAAATTATATCTACAAAGAAGTCAAATATTACTACTCTATGATTTTTTGCCTCCCTAAAATCGCTCATATTTGAAAATCATGTGATGGTGACCCTTTCCAGCTTATTTTCATTTGTTGTTGAACTCAAAGTGTATTTACCTTCCAAAAGCTTGGCGATTCTGTTGCTGCAAATTATGGTATTTATGAATCACAAAAGCGTGAAAAATTCATTTCCAAAAATGCTACCTCAAGTGTTAAAGGAACTCTTTGGCTAATTTTATGAAAAATCTGGATTTTTTTAGGATGCCATTCGATTAAAGTTAGATACATCTATTGACATGTTGATCACATTTTACTTAGCTTTTGTAAAATTACTGTGTAATTATTATCTTCTCAAATAAGACAAGATTTATTAGATATTAATATATTTTGACATGTAAGCAAGAAACATGATGGAAAACCAGAGAAAATCGCTAAGAGCATAATGAAGGAGCTTGGAGATAAAAGGAAGTTTCATGCAATGGGTGACAAAGAAAGAAGAAATATATGATTCAGTCACACTTGTTTGGGTATATCGAGTATTCAATCGGGTATGATTTGACCTGAAGATCCTACGTGATCAAACAAAGCAAGATAACGTAGGGAAATCTGATTTGGCGGAAAACCCAATTGGGTTTGATTAGATTTAAACATTTTCCGGGCTAGTGCCAAGGATATACGGTAGGTAACCGATCTAGTCACCTCATACCTCTTATAAAACACCTTTTTCCTTCCCATTTGAGACACACATCAACCCTTCGTTATCTTTGTAACTTAGGTAGCATTTTGAACTCGGTTTAGCTATATTTAAACTTGTGATTTTCAAGTTGTGGGTTACTTTTTTAATCTTCTTCTCTTGAATATTAATTATTTCTCTATTATATTCCATATTGATATTTGAGCATCACTAATTGATCAATTGATTGATGTTTTCATATTGATTATTACAAAAATCTGTCAATAAATACACTTGTTATTTATTTGATCCTTTCATAGCCTTAAATTAATATTGCACGTGTCACATTCAGGGCCGGTCCTGTTCAGTTTTGGGCTTATGGGCGATATATTATTTTTGTCTTAAAGTAAAAATTATGGAGTATAATAAAACTAGGAGAACCCTAAATACGACTAAAACGTTTGTATATTCCAAACTATGATTACCATATTTTTATTCTCTAAATAAAAGTAATTAATATCATATTTTGGGAGTATCATATTTTACACATTGTAGTATTTTCCGAACATGACATTAATTACCACTATTCAGAAAATAAACATATGACAGTCCTATTTTGAAATTTTCAAAAAAGTTACTCCTCTTTTAGGAATTCTCCCTACAACTATCTAATAAGGTTATAAAAAAGATGAAATTTACCTTCATATTATTTGAATTGCATATTTGGACAAAAGTAACAACACACGTTGACGAGCACTTTGTCGTAGTGTGCCTCAAATTAAATTCACTATTAAGGGCTAATACCGTAGTATAACGTAGTAGAGTTCGTATCTACAGGGAACAGAGCTTTTCGCGTATGTGTAAGCGTGATAAATAAAAGTAAACGGAAGGGGAATTGGATATTTTGATAATTGAGAAAGCAAATAAAATACTTAAATGAGTGAAATAAAATATCAAAGGTAATTAGTCTTGGTTTTGCTTTTATCCACTTAATGAAATGTTCATCGATCCCAGTTATATCTTTAACTATCTTCCTCTCGAATACTCAATCGAGCAGTATATCTAGTTCATCGAGGGTAATTATTTATAACGAGACGCGTTCATTAATAAAACTTACTACCGAATTAATATAGAACACGCGCCGTATATTTACTCGATAGTAGCAATAAATTCAAGATGAAAACGATTTAAATTGATAACCTCAACACAAGCGGATTATTGATTTAATCAATATAATTAATTCCGCTTAGATTATTAACCATGAGACACATGCATTAATAGTCCAAGTTTACTACCGTGAAAAGATCGAACGATTAACAAGCGTATTCGTCGATCGATTCTACTAATAATTAATATATGAGACAAAACTAGTTGATCCTTTAAGTAATGCTAAAAATATTAAAATGAAATATGAATATGAATTAATTAATATTCAAGGAAGAATATTAAAGAAGATATAAGTCCTACTATAACTAATGTCAAGATGTTAACTAATTGTCATTTTAGTAACACTCCCCAACATTAATATAGAGCAAGAAAATAAATACTACTCTAACTAATGTCAAGATGTTAACTAATTGTCATCTTAGTAACACTCCCTAACATTAATATATAGATAGTATTAAGGGAAAAATTAATATTCAAGGAAGAAGATTAAAGAAAATAACTCATAACTTACAATTCATTAAGCTTCAAAGTAGCAAAACCAAGATGGAAAGACTCCCTAAATTACAAGAATAAAGTGTATATGAAAGAGGGGATTAAATTGGTATCTAAAATAGGAAGGAAAAGGGTGTTTTTATAGGAGAACTGAGGTGGTTGGGTCTAAGACATAATCTGATTTTCCCATGTTCGCTTGCTTTATTTGATCTCTTATGATCTCCGGGTCAAATCATATCCGATTTTTCACATTTCTTTGTTCTCCGTGAAGCTTCCTCTTGTCTCCAATGCTCCTTCCTTATGCTCCCAAGTTCCTTCCTCTTCTTTTCATCATGTTTTTGCTTACATGTCAAAATATCGTAATATCTTCTAATTCTACTTTAATTTTAGAAGATAAATATTACACTGTAATTGTACAAAAGCTAAGTAAACATAATGTAAAACCATTCTAAAATGTGGTGTTTATGCACTACTAAATAGTACACATCACACGTATCACAAAAGAACATTGTGAAGTAAATTCGTAAACAATTGCTTTATAATCAATCCTTTTCAGGATCACATGTGCAATGTTTAAAATTGCTAATCCATTAAGTTTTTTGAGGCATAATAGATAATTGGGATGATGTTTGAGAATTGGGAGACACCGGCAGTCCAAAGACAATAATATAAATTAATAATTTTGTAATTAAAAGAATACAAAATCTTAAAGGCTAAAAAGATGTGAAGAGACGTGTTTTTATTGATTCAACAACAAATGTGTTGACTTACAACCAACTCTATTTAAAAATCAAAACTAAATTTATATTCTTTTTAAAAACTTGTCTAGCTTTGTTCAAGACTTTTTACTTATGTTTTAAAATTCTCAAATTGTCAAGAAAAATTACACATTAGGCCTAATTAATTAATTGAAATTATAAATAAAAAAAAGAATCATACTCACATTACATATAAAGAAAAGTACTTGGGCCTAATATTCTTTCTACTTTTTTTTGGGCTTAGAGCGGTCGCCCCTGTTGCCCTCTCCCTAGGACCGGCCATGGTCACATTGTACCAATACGTAAATCCACGAAAAATAAAAGGACTCTTATAGGACAAAATATAAACTCATACACTTTAACAATTAAGTATGAGTCACCATTATATAGTATAATAACATGGACTAATTTATGTATTACATTTGTCCCTTAATTAAAGTCCCAATTTGACTTTTGAGTCAAACTTGTTCAATTTTGACCGTCAGTTAATCAAAACTAACAATAGCTTATCACCAAAAAATATTTTATGTGTTTCATTGCAAAATATATTATTCAAATGTCAATTTATTATAGATTATATAAATGTATATTTATAGATAATTAGGATCAAACATTCCCTCATGAGACCATAAAGTCAAATTAGGACTTTAATTGTGAGAAGCAGAGACTCAGTCACTGAGGGAGTATTTTTTAACATGATCCACTTTTTTCCAAATTTTTACATAATTGTCTTTCTATCCCAAAAAAGGATGACACACCCCATTAGAGAACAGACCAAACAATTATCTGTGAAGATATAAATTGAATTTTGATCTCATGATGAAAAAAAAGTATGGATCCATCTCAATTCATTTCTTAGTGCTTGTTTGCAAACTATTATTTTAAGTGCTTTTGGCTTTTTTTTAAGAAAAAAACACTTATTTTACCAAACAATACCAACTTTTCTTTTCTCGGTTTTCGTGCAGAATCTACTTTTTACTTTTTCTATTACACAAAAAGCACTTATTTTACCAAACACTACCAACTTTTACTACTAATCACTTTTTCCCAAAAAGTACTTTTATTTAAGTACAAGTGATTGCAAACAGAGCTTTAGACTTCCATCCAAATTGAGCTATGCCCCCGGTTAATTGTCTTTCTATCCGTGAACTATAGTTAGGTTTTATCAACAATCAACGGACATTAAAGTATAGCACCCTAAAATTCTTTGTAAATAACTTCCATCGACTTCTTTGGCCCACCCTCTCTCCTCCCTCCCCCAACTGGCTACGACTACATATTGTCATGCGCATACTTGAGTAATTGTCAAAAATATATGGAGTAGAATTCGATCGAATTACTGCTAACTCTGCTCTTTCTTCGAGCCTCTACCGTCGCCGCCGTTTGATCGACCGCAAACGCTGCTATGAGCGACTCGCAAGGGTCTTCTTCTGCTTCCTCTTACTCGTCTTCATTTGAGGATGCTCTCGCAAGGCCGCGGGTAATTGATCAAGTTAAATTTCGCTATTGATCATCTTTCACTATATGTTGGTCGTGGTTAGTTGCCTGTTACATCTAAACTCGCTCTAGTGGGAAATATGACTCCTTTGTTGACTTCCGGTGCTGACTGCCGAGTCCAATTTATAAGTAATCTTTGTAAATGTTTGGTTTCACCGATTGACTTACAAGTTCCTAAATTTTGTTGCTTTGATTTGCGGATTTTGGCATGCTCCCTAGTTTAAGTAAGTTTTGCTCTCATGCAGTGTGCATTTTGTTTCAGTTGTGTGTATACGGCCATATACCAGCCAGGTTACAACTTACAATCCGTGTATGAACCAGGAAAAGAACCTATGTTAGAAGTGTAATTTGGTTTGTGACTTTGTGGCTTGGTATGGTGCAAAGTCGCAAAGTGTAGGGCTGCTAAGTGTACACAGAGTGGGGAGTGCATATAATTCAGCATACCAAGGGGTCATTTTGCAAAATACCAGACACCCCTAAGTATATCTACTTAACCAAAAAACAAGTAAAATGTAATTGGTGCTCTTTTCTATAATTCCAGACTTGAATTTTATTTGTGCAGTGCACAATAAAATCATGAATGCTATTTAAAAATGGATTATAGAACTTCTGTTTTCATTAATGTACACATCGGTATATTTAACTGCAGAACGACGCTGGGTTTCATACAGCAGCTGATGGAAGTCATTCTGTGGATTTCACTGCAAGAACCTCACGCCATTGGAGAGATGTGTTTTGGTTGGTGATATTTCTGTTGCATCTAATAGTGGTTGGTTTGGCACTCGGGGTATTCGGCTTTAATAGGTTTAGGGAAAAGGATAGGCTAAAGATTGATAGATATACAATGCTATTTCTTGATAATCGTGAGGGTCTAACAGAGGATTATTGGCCATTGTATGCTGTTGCGGCTGGAGTCGCAACTGCTCTTGGTTGGACTTGGTTGTTGTTACTCGGTTCACAGGGGAACCAGATGATGAAATTCTCAGTGCACATCTTGACTACATATCTTGCAGTTGTCAGTGTGTTGTGTTTCTGGTCAGCACAGATATTTTGGGGCATTGCCTTTGCCATTGGTGCAGCTTTGCAGTTCATGTATGTCATATCAGTAATAGACAGGTAAAAAATGTGATAAAACCAAACACATATCCCCTCAGAGCATATATACTAAAACTATGAGCCCGTTTGGCAACCCTGTTTTTTGGCTTATGAGTCTTATCGGCCAACTTTTGCACCAAACACATAAGTTTTGATTTCGCGCGCTGGATTGTGTAATAAGCAGAAAAAGTAAGGTTGAAGTTACTTTTTTGGCTGTATTGGCTGAAGTTACTGTAGATGACCATGTTAGCTATTTTTACATATAACTTTTTCTTTATTTTATTAATAAAATATATTTTAAAAATAATTTTCTATTATATCAGCAGCATCAGCCAATGCAGCCACTTCAGCCAGAACTTCATAAATTTCAGCAGAATCAGCCAAAACAACCAATTTTCGTGCTACCAAACGGGCTCTATATGTGCTCAAATAGTCCTTAAGTTATTTGTGTTTGCAATTTTGTTTGAATCCCAACTGAAGAAAATTGGGTATATGTAAAGATGAATTTCTTTGTGATCCTCTCTTCAAAGCATATTGTGATGCTACTGAGGACATATGAATATATGATGCGATTCGAGGAGACAATAACTTGTAACATTTTTATTTTATTTGCCTAAATTGCTCTCTGTTTGATTGCAGTAAAATAAGTTATGGAAAGTGTTTCTGGGGAAAAATAATTATCTGGAAAATCAAGTGTTGTATGTATAAAATAATGTTCAACATGCTAAAACCGGAATGGTGAAACTGGTTCGGGAAAATAACCTTCCTCTATTGATAAGAAAGCCATTTTCCACAGAAATACAAAATAAAGAGGAAATCTTTTATCCTCATCTTTTTTGTCCCCAAACACCTAGAAGGATGTAGAACTAATGGAGTCTAGTTTTAATGAACTCTTGGGGTGAATCTTATATGTTCTTAATATTCTTCTAGTGGCGGAAACACTATTTGTGACATAAAATTGTGATAAATAAGGCTGTTTTCAGATGAGTTTATCCCTAGTTTGAGTTGGTTCATTTAGCCAATCTCAGTGATATGGGATTAAAAACTTATTCAAATACAAAACTAATTACTTCTACTTTCAACACATTTAATTAATCTCTAACAAGAGTGCTAATAATGATATATTCATATATACAGTAATATATGATTATTATTAAAAACATTAATGATTGTTTTAGGCTGTATGATAAGTAGAAGAAAACAACAACAATAGTAATAGTATTTGTGAAAGTAAAACTAATGATTACTATTATTCTAAATAATTACAATAACGATTGTAGTTATAATAACAAAATATATTATTAAATAATGGTGTGATGCTTGTCTGTAAGTGTATTTTTTGTTAGCTTTGGTCCGCTTTAGCTTGGTCTGTTCTAGTTTGGAGCCAAAATAGGTTCAGGAGAAGTGGTCATTACTCATATCATAAAGTGTACTAAGTTGCCAAAATGCATTGCACCATTTCCCGAATAAAAGGGAAAAATAGATTTATTTTCATATTTTAAATGACAATTTTTTACATATATTTGTCTTCATTATAGATTTCCATTTACCATGCTAGTGTTACAAAAGGCAGTCAAGATGGTGTGGAGCCTTCCTGAAGTTATGGGAGTATCATGTGCATTTACACTGGTCATGATTTCATGGTTAGTACTGTGGTCCTTTGGAGTAGCTGGGGTTGTGGCTTTAAGCATTGGTGATGGTGGACGTTGGTGGCTACTTGTGGTGAGCTGGCAAGTTTTTGCTTTTAATTGTGCCTTATTACAAGTTCTGCTCTCACTTTATTACTTCTTAAAACAATTCAACCTATGCTTTTCTATGAACGTGCAGGTTTTCTGTGTTAGTTTATTCTGGACAGGCGCAGTTTTTTGCAACATTGTTCATGTTATAGTGTCTGGGATGGTGTTTTTTGTTATATACCATGGCGGTCATGCAGAAACATCAATGCCTCCTAAACCGCTGTTGAATTCTCTGAGATATGCTATCACTACTTCTTTTGGCAGCATCTGCTATGGATCACTGTTTACGGCCGCTATCCGGACATTGCGTTGGAAGGTTAGTCAACTTCACCCCAGGACCTGTATTATCATATTATGTAATAAATACTTCTAATAAAAGTTTTATATTGTTTTTCATTTGGAAAGTTATATTTCTGTGTCATTTGTATTGAAGTTTCTGTCTGAGCTGATATAAGTAACAATATCCTTTATCTGCTCACTGCAGATTAGAGGAGTAAGGTCAAAGATTGGTAACAATGAGTGCTTGCTTTGTTGTGTGGACTTCCTTTTTCATTTGGTGGAGACGCTAGTCCGATTCTTCAACAAGTATGCTTACGTCCAGGTATTTAAGATTATATATACTGTTGTTGGAAGGGCTTCGTTTGTTGTGTGAACTTCCCCTTTCATTTAGCGGGGAGACGTCAAGTCCATTGCTTCTATAAATATGCCCATGTCCAGCTAGTTAGGTTTATACATACAAATATAGCTTAAAGAATATGAATGAAGGTAGCTTTTTAAAATGATTATCTAGCCTGCCACATGAATGGGTAAGAAAACTTTTGTAATGGCTATTTGGGCTTGTGAGCTTTATGCAGGCTGGATGAATTACAGACAGGCATGGTCCTGTTCAATAAGTAAACAGACCAAAAATCTTACCCAAAAGATGACATGATTATTACATGGATAATTGGATATCCCATGACATAACACGCCTAGCCCTTGTATCTTGCTAAGCACAAATAAGCACAACCCATTTAGCCTATTTAAATACTAAAAAAATATTGAAATTAAAGTACCAATTTCAAAGGAACATTTCCTCATACTATGTTTAGGGATTGAAATCCATTTTTATTAAGCCTTACATGTGCTTTGAATCCTGTGTCAGGTCTAATTCATCATCCGGTGACCCCAGCTAGGGTCCAAGTCCATTTTTGGACCAATCCCAATTAGTCCATGTCTTTATTGTGTAGTCTGTGATTGGACCATATGGCCACCCATAGATAGTATGTAATAGCCCTTTTTAAATATACTCCCTCTGTCACATATTTAGCTTCCGAATTACTATTGATATGGTCAAACTTTGAACGCATATTGTATAACTGTATAAGTCAAGGCATAAATATACTCCTTTTGATATGGTTGAGTTCAAGGGATCTCTATGAAGTATGAACTACCCTAGAGAAATATTTTGGATGACCCCAGAACATCTAGAAGATCTAAGTTTACATTAAGTGATTAAATAATTAATTTCAACACCTCTCCTTGTTAAAAAAAAACAAAATAAGATCAACTAATGGAAAATATAACTTGCCAGTAACCTATGGAAAAATATGACATCATGTATGGCCTTGGGTATGAAGATGCAAGTGTTGGGCAACGGGAAGCCTTGAGTAGATGAAGTCGCTGAAATAAAGCATGCTGCCAATTTTTTCTTGAGCATCCTACATTTTGTTTCTTCAACCGTTAGTGCTTTTTACGCCATGGTTCTGAATTGTGATAATGAGTCAATGACTCAGGAAAAAAAACATGTAATCTTTGTGATTTTTCTTATAACAGATTGCTGTTTATGGTAAAAACTTTAACAACTCAGCAAAAGATGCTTGGGAGCTGTTTCAATCAACCGGAGTTGAATCACTGATTGCATACGACTGTTCTGGTGCTGTACTACTAATGGGCACCCTTTTAGGTGGACTGATTTCTGGAACTTGTGCTGGAGTTTGGACCAGGATCAAGCATCCGGACAGAGTTATGATGGTCGGTTCCACTTCCATGTTGATTGGGATGATCTTGGTAAGAAAGTTCTTCTTTTGGCATGTATTTTATCTTTTTTGTTTGTGTGCTCACTCACTCACGCGCTCACCCATAGCATGCAACTTTAAAAATGAAGATAAATAAATTTTAATCTATGAGTGCCTTGATCTACCTAACACTAAGGTACTGTTTTTCGTACCCTAATTGTAGCTCGGTAATTTTTATGGAAAATAAGTTTGTTGTATTGTGATACGGTGAGACCTGTAGTATTTAGCCCACAGCCCCACACAAACATTTAAAGAAACTACTCTGGGTCATCCGGAAACAATCTCTGTGTGCTTTAGTACAGGGGTAAGACTGTGTACATCCGACCCCCCTACCCCACCGTAGGTGGGAGCCTTTGCGGCACTGGGGTAATGATGGTGATTAAACATTTAAAGAAACTAAGTGAGTGTTTGTTAATGCTTAAAATAAGCACTTCTTAGCTTTTAACTTAAAAAAAACTAAAAAACTTCTTAGCTTTTAACTTAAAAAAAGTTAAAAGTGTTTGCGAAATCCTACTTCTAATTAAAAAAAAGCACTTTAAATCCAAAAGCTAGAAGTATATACCAACTTCCAAGTGCTTCTAGGTATTCTTGTAAAAAACTCCAAACTGTTTGAATAATTATAATGCCCCTAAATCCATTTAAACCCCAAAATACCCTGAAATAATTGCAACCCATGACATCTGCCCTCTTCCATCCGTCATTCCAGCTCTTCTCCCAGAGTTGTCGGCACCGATGAACTTCAATGTCCAGATGCTATCTTTTTGATAACCTGAATCATGCGAGTGAAAATTAAAAATCATTTGAACTTAAAAATCTAGTGAGTAAAAATCATTGATGAATTTCGATGATTGTCATGTAAAAATCTAGTATCATCAACCCTTCGGCGATGCAAGAAGATAGACAGTACAAGAAGGAAATTTGAAACATAAGGATAGAAGAATTTTTGGATTCTTACCTTCTAACCATAGCATAGCTCGTCGAACATAGAAGAAAGAAAGGTCCAAGAAAGAGACCAACAATAGGTATTTAATTATGGAAGGGTAATTTTGTACTTCTACAATTTACTCCCAAAAAAATCACTTATTTTACCAAACACTCCAACTTCAATTTTTTCACTAAAAGCACTTCTATTATAAAACACTATCAACTTTTACTATTAATCACTTTCTCTCCAATCACTTAAAAAAAGTTAAAAAACCACTTTTTTAAAGCAAAAGCAAATGCAAACACTCCCTAAACTGTTCAGAAATGCGAGGAATCCCGAAACCGAGAGCTTCTTGGGGTACACCTTTTTTGTACACTTCTACCTTTTTTAGTTGAAAAAATAGGGGGTGTACACAAAAAGTGTACCAAAAGGTGTCAAACAGATTTTTCCTCCCCAAAATAGCAAAATCCAAGAACTTTTTACCTCTGAAAATATTTCCCTGCAATCAAATGTGGCCGTAAATGGGAAATTGGCTTGGTAGCAAATCTAGGCTCAATCCTTTCTTCAAAAACTGACTAAATTCTAAGCTCACATGTGTGACATTGAATTGCAGGTGGGTTTAGCGAATGTAGTGGTGGAAAGTGCAGTGACCGCCTTATATATCTGCTTTGCTGAAGACCCTTTACTAGTAAGTAAATGGGATTCAGAGTTTTTTGACAAGATGTCGGAGACCCTTCACCAACGTTTGCAGCACAGAAGTGCACGTGCAAGGCAAGTCGTACTAACCACTAGGTTCGATACCCAAATGCAAGAACCAGTGCAAATCTGAATTTTATGTCTCCACAAATCGGAATTGAAAATAACTGTCTATATTTATATTTATATTTATAATTTTATATATTCATACAATTATCCAAAGAATTACAGGTCCAGTTATAAAGGTGTAAATTTTTGTGCTTCCAACGTCATTCTTGTGGTTTTCCTTGATATGGCCTATTTGTAAAGAACTATAACATTGAGACTGATTGACTTTTTATAGGGTCGGTGTAACCTATAAATTCTGGATTTTAATGATATCATATTTACTGTTTACTTAACCAAATTGAACGGTAATTTCCTAATAAAAATAAGACTGATCAAGCGTAAGGCATTTCCCATGCAAGTCATTGTTTTCCTTGTTGTTTTTTTGAAAATTTTGTTTTCCTTGTTTTAACTTTGTTTTGAAAGTGAAAGTATCACATATGAGCCCTGTGTTGTTATCACATACTTCTTCCGTTTTTAACGGTCAACATTTCACACTTGTCGAGACACAACTTTGACCATTAATATATACTCCGTATATAATTTTGTATTAGTAAAAAAGTTTAAAAAAATAGATTTTGAAAATTTTGTTCATAAAAAATATTAATACATTAATAAATAAAATGTAGTCAAAGTAGAACATGTGAATAGTGTAAAATTCAAGGTGTTACATTTATTTAAGAACGGAAGTAGTATGTGATAACGACACAGGGCTCATATGTGATACTTTCACTTTCAAAACAAAGTTAAAACAAGGAAAACAAAATTTTCAAAAAAACAACAAGGAAAACAATGACTTGCATGGGAAATGCCTTACGCTTGATCATTCTTATTTTTATTAGGAAATTACCGTTCAAAATTTGGTTAAGTAAACAGTAAATATGATATCATTAAAATCCAGAATTTGTGATTGTTTTTTGTCAATACTAAACAAGTAAACAGAAAGTCAAGCATCATGGAAAAATAAGAATACTATGAACAAAATTTTTGGAAGATTGTTTGTGAACAATATAAAAAATAGAATCTTTCTGAAGAACATTTAAAAATTTATTGTTGTGAACTTGTGATAGACGATAGTGTATATATGTTGAATTCTACTCCTTCACACTACATATGCAGAGGCCGTTTGGTAACATCTTTTTTGGCTTATCAGGCTTATCAGCTAACTTTTTCACCAAACACGTAACTTTTACTTTCGCGCGCTGAATTGTGTAATAAGCAGAAAAAGTAAGGTTAGAGTTACTTTTCTGGCTGTATTGGCTGAAGTTACTGTAGATGACCATTTTAGCTATTTTTACATATAATTTTTTCTTTATTTTATTAATAAAATATATTTTAAAAATAATTTTTACTTAAATCAGCAGAAACAGCCACTTCAGCCAAAACTTCATAAATTTCAGCAGAATCAGCCAAAACAGCCGATTTTCGTGCTACCAAACAGGCTCGCAATATCGATTTAGTGTTTGTTAGAGACAATTATATGTTTATAATTATTTATGCTTAAAACACTTTAGGGATGTAATCACTTTACACCGTTTGTTTTAATTATTTGATGTAAACTGAAGTGTATTCTTTAAAAACATTTTACTTTTTACATGGGACTTTTTACATCGGGAAGGTTGGTAAACTACTTTACATTATAAACATAAATAAAATACACGGTTTGATTTTTTACAGTCCAGGCCTAATTTTAACTACTCCAGTACTCCGTACTTGAGTATGACTGCTGAAGAGGAAAGCTTGTCGTCAAGAAGTAAGCTTTACGGCAGAAGAAGAAAACAGCCCTAATTATAAGAATGAAACACGTAGACCGCACTTTTGCATAAGTAAGCTTCCACGTTAGTTTTCTTTTTTAATTTAATGACATGTGGAGTATTATTTAGAGTATTATTGTATGGTAAAATTAAAGTAAAATTTAGTTTTTAATGAGATTCGTTTACTTGATTCGGGTGAGTTATGGAAAACAATGTAAGAGTTCTCGTGTAATTTAAAAATAGATTGTACACATATCAAATGATGTATTTTAATTTTACATGTAAAATGTTTACTGTCCTAAATTTCATATGCAATCATTTTACGTGTAAAGTTTTAATGTTTACACTATCAAACGGGCTCAGATTTTGATATTGCATTCAATTAAGTTACTATCTTTCAGTTTCAAGGTTTCATTGCTCACGGATCTCCTTTATTAGATCCCTAAATTTTAGGTTTTGAAATCCAAATTTATTTTGATGTTTCTTGGGCAGTTGTATTTCTTTTTAGAGTAAAATGCATAAATAGTCGCTAAACTATCATCATCATATCGTTTTGGTCCTCGAACTAATAAATCTATCATCTTAGTCCCTAATCTATTTAATCCATATTAATTCGGTCTTTCTGTTAATATTTTGACGTTAAACAAACGGAATGTGATAATAAGTTAGTGCATGTATGTGTAAATCAACATACTTATTAGACAAATTATAACTTAAGATTGTTGAATCTATTTTTCTAAATCCTCAGTTACGCACTACTTATGCCTCCTCCTCCTGGACAACTACATTACTCTAGAACAATGATAACACTCAATTTGATTTCCTTTTCGGAGCCAGTCAAATCAATGATTCATGCAATTTCTGTTGTGTAGAATTTCCTTCACTGATTGCTAGTGAAGCCAGATCTTTTAGTTGTAATTTTTTATTTTTTCGTTGGAGTAGCAAATGCAATAAAACTATTAGACTAGACTATATTATTGCAGGATAAGCGATTCATAAGGATTTGTGAGATATTTTCCGTTCTATGTTTAATATCATTATAGTCTTAGACTCTTAGCCTATTCATTGACATGTTTCTTTGCTATTATTTAATGAATAATTAACTATTTGTTGTCACAACTCTTGATAAGGTTGGATCTAAACAAAGCCAATGTAGCTAGATGTGTTTAAAATTTTCCTCTTTTGCTTGTCTTGCTACGCTACATTTGTTTCATACAATTTGATACTCCCTCAATCCCAAATTGTAAGATACATTTACTATTCACTTGGTCAACACAAATCACTATTAATCTTTTACTTTATATATCAAAAGTTTATGAAATGTGAATTATTTTTTGCAGGTTTTGTAGCGGTTTTAATGTAGTTTCTGAATATGTAGATTTTATTTTATAAAACTAATTTGAGTGTTGACAGAGATCAATTAGCTTTATCGTCAGTCAAACATCGTAAACCGTAAAGTATCTTACAAATTGGGACGGAGGGAGTAATAATTTTATTAGTATTTTATGTTAACCCTATAGAAATAATCCTTAAGGCCCTTTAAACCACTTCAGACTTTGTTACTTTATTGGTATTTTTTCACACCACTTCAGACTTTATATGTAAGTACAATTGAAATTATCCTAAACCTATAAAAATGATCCTTAAAACCTTGTTTGGTTGGAAGATTTCAGACAAGGTGGAAAGTGATCGCAAGATTTGTGTATATTTGTTTGAAAGAAGTGGGGGGAAAGGAGAGAAAAGTCGATGGTTTTCATAATTCTCCGCTTCCTCCTTTCCCAACCCCCAATTCGTGATGTTTTAGAGGCAACGTGTTGTTGACGAAAATTCAAAAATTAAAAAATCTATTAAAATTTTGAAAAATGGAAAAATGGAAAAATTCAAAATTTGAAAATTAAATTTTTTAAAAAATAATAATTTAAAATTTTAAAAAATTGAAGTTTTAAAATTTTTAAAATATAAATTTGAAAATCTAGGAATTTAGAAAAATTAAAAAATTTAAAATTGAAATTGATGGATAGTGTACTTGAGGGTAGCTTATTCGAGGGATATTATGAGAAATATCTAGAGAGAAGTCGGAGCAAACAAGTAAGAGAGAGAGTCAGATATATTGAATGAACTCGAGATCTGGGATCCTTTACAATGAGAAAAAGGACTGCTATTTATAGCAACCATAAATGCTATACGTGTACACATGTCAACCATCCGACGGCTGAGGGTCATTTCAATCGGGGTGGCACCGACAGTCGCATGTGTACCGCATTAAATGCGGTGGTTGCATGCGACGCCGCATTGAATGCGGTGGTTGTCTGTCTTCAGAGGGAATCTTTGCTGAGAGTGGTGACCCTTCGGACTAGCCACTCATGACCGAAGGCTCCACATTTGTGCCGAAGGCTCCCCTTTGGCCGAAGGCTACTGGTTTAGCCAATCTCCCAGAAACTTTGCAGGTTCAGATCCAGCCGTTTCCTGGAGTTTGGAGCCCTCGGCCCAAGAGTCGAAGGCATCCTCGTACACACAGTGGGTTCCTTTAGGCTTGGGCCGCTGTATCTGGGCTTCGTATGCTTATTAGGCTCATTGGGCCTATCTAGGAGAAGTATGAGTCTGTGGGTCGGGGGTCCCTGGGCCATATACTCCATCAGAAATATAAAACATTTAAAAATTGAAAATTTTAAAATTTAAAATTTTAAAAATATAAAATTTTAAAAATTTAAAAAGTTAACAATTTTAAAAATAAAAATTTTAAAATTTGAAAATTTTAAAACGGATTTCAAATTTAACATATTATTACAACTTTAGAAACATATTTATAAGCTATATAACTAACATATTATTAGACATTAAAAACCTAACATATTATTATGTTTTTAGTTAATAATTTGAGAAATAAATTTTATATTGTGCTAAAAGAATTTGTCACTTTTATTGGATTTTTTCTTTTTTCGTAACACGTTCAGGCCGTAAAATAGGCCTTTAACAATAACAGGCCACACCCAAGTTTAAACATGGGGAATTCTATTCACAGCCACCCTTTTACTAAATACACTCACATGTTTTCCATAATGCCTATTATATCCTTAATAATACCCAACTTAATTCAGAGTCTCTGGAGGAAAATCACGTTCGTCTATTCTGTGTATTGCAAAGAAGGAAACGAACAACAATCGATGTCATCGTACAGAGATCGAAACGGTGGGGATATGGGAGAAGTAGTGTCTCGACTCTCGACTGGAGAATACATTAATGAAAAGTCCGTAAAATCTCCTAAAATGTTTGGTGGAATAGAACGGCATACTTTCATATTAAATGTTAGCCAAAATGTTACATCTAGCTTCATCACACTCCAATTAAAAATGAAATGAATTTTGGAATACCCTCACTCGATTGACACGTATAAAGATCTGATCTCAATTCTATAAAACTGATCATTGATGCAGAAGCAAATCAAAACCTCGTTTATTCACATTAGTTTCAAATAAGTTAAAAATTATAATAGAGAAAACAGTCACTAACATCGATCGAAATCATAAAAACAGATGGCCTAAGATTTGAGTGTTTGAAATCTAACGAGTTTTAGAGCTTTAATTTGAGAGTTTCGGCCATGGCCATGGAAATCTAAAGACTCGATCCAAGTAAAATCGAATCATGTTAGAAATCTCCATTGTAAAAGGAGATTTGACCGCACATAGGAAACGTGATATGCCTAGGAGGAGTTGTATTAAGTTGGGTATTATTATTAGTGATATAATAGGAACTATGAAATAATGTGATTGTATTTAGTAAAATGATGGATGTGAATAGAATTTCCCTTAAACATACTAAAACATGTCCGACATGTTTACCCAAAAGTGTGGCCTTACATGTTACCACTCCTGTGTAATAATCCCCCCGTCCCATTTATATTGTCTCAGTTCCTATTTACTTGGTCAACACAAATCACTCTTAATTTCTTACTTTAATTATCAAAAATTTATAAAATTTGATTCAGGTTTTTGTGACTTTGTAAAGCTTTAAATGTAATTTCTGAATATGTAAATTTTTTTCCTAAAAATAATTTGAGTGCAGACAGGGATCTGTTTGCTTTATCGTCGGTCAAACATCGTAAACCGTAAAGAGACAATATAAATGGGACGGAGGTAGTTGTAAATAGAAATAACGTTTGATTTGTTTTTCTGTTCCAATTGGTTGAAGTTACTATATTGAACTATTTTAATTATTTTTTCATATTTTTTTATATTTCATTAATTAAATATTAAATATAAAACTAAATATAAAACTTCATCGATTTCAAACGGATTTAATTAATTTATTTAGCCACTGTCAGAACCCGTTTGATAATACTTAAATCGGCTGTATTGGCCAAATTTTCCGAAATTTATGAAATTCTGGTTTAAATATTGGAATGGATGTTTCTGCTGATTTATGAAAAAATTATATTTTTAATATATTTATTAATAAAATAAAGAAAAAAATTATATGAAAACAGATAAAATGATCTCTATATTAACTTCATCCAATACTGTCAGAAAATCAACTTCAATTATATTTTTTCTTATTATTACATATTTCAATGCGTGAAATCAAAATTGCGTGTTTGATACAAAAACTAGCTAATAATCATGATAAGTAGTGGCAGAACTAGGGGAGCCGGCAAGTGCTGGTGCCACCCCTTCTCTGGAGAAGTTAGGGTATGTATACATATAATTTCTATAGCGCCCTGGTCATCTTATTCCTTGCCCCGGTTGTTTTCCATCGACTTGCGTGCTCTGTGGGATGATGGATGACTTGAAAGGTTCTGTTTTTATTTTGTTAAGTGTAGAAAAGAAATAGAAACGACGTAGCATCTGTTTTTATTTTGTTAAGTGTAGAAAAGAAATAGAAACGACGTAGCATAGCAGGGTTCATACTTCATAGTAGGGGTGGGCGCGATCCGGAATTGTCCAGGAAATTAGTAAACCCCGTAATGTATCCGTGAGGTTTCTAATAGTCCGGTACGGCCTGGATCTAAGGATGGAACCATTTGGTACCATGTCGTTTCGGAATGGTACAAAACGGTACGGTACAATGCCAAACACATGCTAAAAATGGACAAATCTTGCAATTAATAGATATCATCACACCAACCAACTCACATGAAATATTGATTTAAATACAAGAAATTGCATGCGTAGTACTAAAATTTACAAATATACAAATAGTGCAACACAACTAAGAAAAAGTATAACAAAATGATGGTGCACGAGATAAATACCATTTTTAATTTACTAAGTTCATGTGAAAATATAATCATCAAATTGTTGAATATAATAG